GACCTCCGATGCAGTCAAACTCTGGGCTGGGATGACTGGCAGATGGGCTATCTTCAAAGCATGCCACATATTACGTGCAGTCAGATTGCCAGCTAGCGTTTTTATTTCCTCCAGAGAGACGGACAAGACGATTACGTCAACGGCCTTCGAATTAGCGGCCCTCCATCTATCTGTCAGAGGAACTGGAGGGGCCTCACACACAGTATGCCACACTCCAAACTGACGCAGCAAGCTCTCACACCACACAGCCCAGGTCCCATAATTGTGCCGATTTAGCTTTGGGCACTCAGCAGCCTCAGAAGCGTGGAAAAACTCCATTCCAGGTTTCTACTTGAGCCGTGAGCCTTATTCACTTCAAAGACCCCTTATCTCGGCAGCCCATTAATCTTGAGGCCTTTGGCGCGGCTCCCAGATCCATTAATCTGCCAGCCGGACATCAAAGGTGCTTGCCGCGGCAAACAGAAAAGCCTTACTTTCGCTTTTCCTCCACATACCTTTCAGCAGTCTGTCGCAGTCTTACTCTCCTGTAAGTGCTGTGAATCTGGGCCCGAAACCTGTTGTTGGGATACTGCCAGGGAGATAAAGTCCATCATGGCCCCCAAGCCGTCTGCCGGACGATCCATCTACCTCCCGTAGGCACTCAGCGACATGAGTTTCTAGAAAATATCTTGTCCACATTCCAGAGCTCATGCACGCTCTATCAGCAGATAACACACAGCATGAAGTTGCACCCAGGAGAGCATTATTTACAAGTTTATTCAGCGTTGATCAGAACACAGAAAAACATGACTGCCTGCTGATTTAGTGTCTGCGACACCAGAGAGAAAACGAAAGCAACAGAAAACATAAACATCCTGTGAACAGGAAATACGCAGACTCTGACTCACAAAGCCTGCTCCCTTTTAAGGAGGAACGGAAATATCCTAACAATATAACCCTTTGCCCTCATGTAGTCCCAATCAGAATCACTCCTCCACCCCTGGCAATACCATATCTCATCTCACCGCGTCATGGTCCCAATCTCAGGCCTTCTTTTAAACCGTCTTTTAGGTTTGCTTGGTTTTTAAATCAGTGACACAAGACATAAAAGATGTCCTGTGTACTTTGTTCCTCTTCTGAGGTATATTTCCACCACAATGTACTCTGCTTCCTTAAAATTTTGCAGCTTGGATTTTAGCCAGTTTTGCTATTTGAAAGCAGCTGAACTATAGGGGCGATAATATCACTACTTCCTGCTGCTCAAGAAACTGTTAAGATTTCTGAAATGTTTTTATTAGCTTTTAAACTATATAAACACAACTGCACCTGAATCAATAGCAGCTCTCGACAAACCCTTTTGAAAGACATCAGGAAAAGCCTAGCATCAATTAGCCCAGCTATGTGTTGCTCAACTAGGCATATACCTCATAAAAATGCGACTCCTGATGAGCAAATCATAATTTACATGATTAGGAAAGGTCCAATTTTCTTTTAAAAGTGACAAGGTATCAACATTTAGGTTTGGCATCACTGGTAATTTAGCTGTAATCCCAGGAAGTACGACAGACGTTTTTGATCTGTCTGCTCAAACAGATAATTTTCCACCTGCTGTTTCACAGTCTCTTTGTGCAAATGCACTAAATGGTAATAAACTATTTCTGATGTCACCTGAAGTAGTGAAAAAAGGAAAGAATCAGAACACTACACATGTTCCTCCCTCTTAGGTAAAGGGGAAAGTGTAACCTTTGAAAAATCACTGACTGAGAAGCAGCAAACTGTACTGGACTATATGTTGAAGCAGATGCCCAAAATTTGAGGAATATCAACAGTCAACATGCATAGCTTGAAAAGTATGCATCTTTTTATCCCCCTCCCTTTTCTTGAAAAGAAGGTATATATGTATTTGAACATATAGGTCTAAATTGTTCATAGTGTTCTCAGGATTACAACTAAACAAATTGAAGGCCTATGAGGAACTGCAGGGTGGGAAAATAATTACCTGGGAAATTACACCCCCCACACACTTTCATATAGTACATGCCCCTGCTAAGCTTAGTCTGCTTACCTAGTCTAAACCTCCATAACTAGTCCTGTTCACAGTTTAGGCAAGTAGGAAATTGCTGATGTTATAACTCTAGGAGAAAGCAAGCTTTGAGATCATACAACTCAGCCTATATGCATCCATATTATCCCTTGCTATTTCAGCCCAATTTCTTCCTCTGAAGTCACTGAAGCTCAGGACGTTATGGGGCAGTGACATGCTGACCCTCTGCTTTCATTCTGTTTGGAATGGACTATGTAAGTAGTGGCCAGCTGCATATTCTTGTTTTCTATTAGTAGTCACAAAATGGGAACCCAAAGGACTTGGGAAAGCCCTCAGTATTAAAGTGGGTTGCTGAGTTCTGGAGCTAAACGATCAGCTTCCTGCTCACACAAGCTCTGAACTCTAACAGTATTGTACATTATTATTATTGTATTATTATACAAATAGGATTTTATTATCATAGAAAACCACAAAGATAAATAAACTGGCAATTTGCTTTTAACATATGTCAGATGCAGCAGATGTAATATTCCAAATGAATATCATTTATTAAGAACACAAACAAAAATCATTCTTAGGTTAAAAGCAGCTGTACTATTCTGCTTCAGACTAATTCTGTCTTTGCTCTTTAGGTTTCCTTTGGCCTCAACATAATCACATTTCATCAGAAATTCCAAGCTTAATTTCCTTACATTGCCTTGGGAAATTTCTGAAGATGACTAATAAATGCTAAAAATAAATCACTAGATTTATTTATGATGTAGGGGTATGGAAAAGAGCCCCAGTTCTGTCACTTGGCCATCTTTAACAGGCACAGGCTTGCCCAATAATAAATGGAAAGTATTTCTGGGGAGTTTTTAATCTTTGACCAAAGAAGAGTACTTTGTGCTTTTGTCATAAGCAACTGGTGCCTAGCATAATGGACTTGTGGCTCTCACAGATTAGCAAACAGTCCTTAGCAATCTACTGTGGACAACTATTAGATAAATGTAGCAAAGTACTGAAATGATGAAACAGGGGCTCTGAGGCAGAGTTAACTATTTGCAATTTTACAGTAAGAAAACCCTGCTATTTCCCAGTAACAGCTATAGCTGGAATTCAACTGCTGCTTCACTGCCATGCCATCTGCTTTATTGCTCTACTGATCTAGGGTTTTCTATGGCTCTACTGTGGCCAACTTGTATAAAAGAAATAATAGTGTTCAAGTGGCATTCCATAAAATACTGTTGATTGTCCATCAGTTTCATTTTTATTACATTTATATGTCATGGAACCCAAGGTAGCACAAATGTGCCACCCAGGCGCTGTTTTGCCCATGGGTATTAAACTGCAAGTGGAATAAAATTTTGATGGGCACATGGTAGAAAGGGAAAAGGTAGGGGAGGCCCTCCCAAATATGTGCTTCTTTTGTGTGGCTGAAGCTATTATCTGGCATGTTTATTTTTATCATATAACAATGTTACTATATAGGAGACAATAATCAAATGAATCAGAAAAAAGGGTCAATCAAGGTTAACTGAAAACTAATCAAGGTTAATTGAAATAAAAAAATAAGAACATCAAATGTTTGACTGTTTTATATTTTCATTCAAAGTGCACAGTGGTAGCTCTATTGAACTATGTTCTCCAGCCTCTGGCTCTCTTAATTTTTTATGAGATGTTTTGGGTGAGTCATTTGTTTTAAGTATTGTGCATTATTTTTTTCTTTTCTTTTCCTATTGTTTCATTACTGTGAACCATTACTTCCCAAGAAGTATTTAAAAAGTCACTCTCTTATGCTGGGATAACAACTAAATTAATTTAAATATTTCAATTAATCCAGGAATTACAGAAGGCATGTTAAGCCTATTCACACACTTTTAAAAACAAGAGCTCCGTGATCCATCCCCCTTTAAAATAGAATTAGCTAAGGCAGAGTGGAAACAAAGAATAAGACCCCCCCTGATAATAGAAAGGACTGGCGTCCACAATCAGCCCCCAGGCCTGAGGTTCCCTGCCCCTACCTGAAGTTCCTGAAACACATGCTTAGGTTTTTGTCACCTCTATTAAGTACTGGAAAATAGTCATCTTGTCAAATGCTTCCTCTAGACAGGGAAAGTTCCCAGGCTTTCCTCTAGAACAGAGCACTGGCACATACATTTTCCCCCCTTTTCTTTCTACTGTTACAGCTGCAAGCAAAATAAAAGGGAAATGGGTCACATTTCAATGACTGGTCAAGTTAACGACTTTTGCAGTTTTTAATTTTTGAAAGAGAACTATGCCTTACAAGCATGGTTTGTGTAAACTGCAATCCAAGTGATAAAATATGTCATTTCGGATATAACGAGGAGATTTATGAAACAGGCAAGCCAGTCTCGTTGGCAAAAGCTGCAAGCAATACTAGGAAAGACATGGGAATCTGTTATGAAAGGAGTATGAGCAAGACAAGAAGCATGCCTGCAAACATCTAATTTAACTAACAGCTAATCTAACTCTGGTGTGCTTAACCATTTGAAGATGGAAAATATTACAGAATGTTATGCACTGCAGTCAAACGATGGCTCAAGATGGAAAGGCCCAAATAATTTAGTCATAGCTACTGCAGTAACGCTGACACACTGAAGGGCAGTCCTTTCTACTCTGCATCTACTCTTTTCAGTTCCACTCCTTTCCATGTCAAGCCACTGCCCATTTCTCAGAGACTTCATTGCTCATAATGCTTGTCATTTCTTGCCATGTTTAATTTCCTTGCCATGTTCCTAAAATCCTTCACTTCACCTCATTCATGCTATCCCACCATATCACACCAGTCATGTCCACCAACTTTCACTTGCCCTGTTATTCTCTTCAGTCTTTCTCCCACGTGTCTCTAACTGCACATTCTGCTCCTTAGGAACATCCTCCTCCTTTTCCTGAAAGTTCTAGAATCACAGAACTGCAGAGTTAGAAGGGACCACACCAGTCATCTAGTCCAACCCCTGCAATGTAGGAATCTTTTTGTCCAATGTGGGGCTCAAACCCATGACCCTGAGATTAAGAATCCCATGCTCTACCAACAGAGCTATTCAGAGTCCCATGTCCTACTTCCCTTTTTTCATTCTTAATCTTACTGCCCTTGAAGCTTTTGACTTTTCTTCCTTCCATCTTATGTATTTCTATTAAGTCTAAGGATCACTAGAGTGTCATCTGCTCTGAAGTATCTGCTGTTGCTCTTCCCATTTAACCAACTTTGATTTCAATGCTCCTTCAGCCTAACCTATCTCTACTATTCTCCCAAGTTATTTAGGTTGTAAACCTACCTTGAACTGAACCACACAACCATCCACTAATGGTTAGTATTGCCCCTCCAAACAAAAACAAAATAACTTTGGTTCACACCATGAATCAAAATATAGTTTCTCAAATAATAACATAATATGCAATATAATAAATATGGCAATCTTCAATAAACATTCAAATAAATTTCACAGTTAAGTAATCATCCAGCTTCCTTAGACAACCAATCTGCTACTGTAGTTCCTGCTGAAGTGTTGGATCTCAAGAAATCAATATTCCATTACAGTACTTTTCTTTTTGAGACAGTTTTTGTAAGAAAATATATGAACACACATAGATAATATCGTAGGAAAGAAACAGAGTCAGTTTGTCAACTAGAAATATGTTTGGAATTCACACAACATTAATTAAGGATGCTACAATGTCCCATGTATGTAACCAGAATGACATAAGGAAGGCACAGAACATGATGGCCTTTAATTGCAGTTAACTCAAGCTATGTTTGGAAGGTATGCAGAACACAACTCTCTATTTAGCAGGAAAACCCTCAACGAAATGGAATAGCAAGATGGGAGTTACAGGCAAGAAAGCAATGATGCAATTTTAGTGCAACACAGTCTTGGGGAGTCTCAATAAAGCAAGCATCAAATAGGTGAGAAGCACATACCACTACAGTCATAAAGTCACTGTTTATTATATTCAGAAAGTGACATTCAGTAGCAATGAAGTACAGAGTAGAACAAGATAACAGCCTCAAAATTGTGCACGTTTAGCTTTTCAATCCTCTAACTGTTCTAACGCAAATATTTTCCATGCAGACTACAAGCAACACAGTAAATCTAGTAACCACAACCACCTTCTTGAAAAATACTTCATTATAATTATAACAAATTTAGTTTCAGCAGTATGTCAAGTCAAATCTTAGTCCTTTCTGTGCTGGTTTTAATCTTCTATTTCAGTAGTTATATAAGCAAGAATTGAAAATTATTTACAAGTTACACAGCAGCACAGTCAACACATGGTGCATAGGCCCAAACTAAGATCATAAATACACTAGAATATTATTGGAACACTGAAACCTCAAAACCGGAATGTTCAGAACTTCATAGCCAACTCACAAATAGAATCCATTTGTTAAAAACACACCCACAATCTAATTCAGTGACACCCACAAGCTCGCTATCTTCTATGAATCTATCAGCTGCATATTGTTCTGTGAACCACCCAGAGACCTCTGGCATATTGTTCTGTGAACCACCCAGAGACTTACCGCCCTATAGGGCGGTAAGTAAGCAAGCAAGCAAGCAAGCAAGCAAACAAACAAACAAACAAATAATATACAGCACAAAACTATGTTGTCTACTCAAAATTAAGTCCAGCTAAATTCAGAGGGACTTACTCCCTGGAAAGTATTGTAGAATTTATATCTTTATATCTTAGACCTGGGATGCTAGATGCCCTGCCAAAGCAGCAGTTTGTGCAAAGTTCACATGGAAGAGACAAAGTATGGTACACATAACTTATCTGGTGTGAATGAGTTCAAACAGAGATTTCACACTGTGCTATCTGCATGGATCTTGTGGAGGAATTGATCGTGTCCTTATTCTTTTATAGAAATTGGTTTCAAAGATATCAGACCCAAGCAAATACTGATAAATTATGGAAATATATCTGCCTGCCTTTAGCATTACAACCCTTATATGGATAACCTCTGCATTACCTTTACCTATTGTTATTCCATATGTTACTGGATAATATTAAATGCTGTTTCAGCCAAGCCTCCAAAGGACTGATTTAGTGAAACTCATACAGATGAAAAAAGTTTGAATACCACCAAAGCGTTTCCTCCAGTGTTATCTAAAAGTCAACTAATAACAAAAAGCAACAAAATCATCTGGCTAATTTTCAGTGCTGTAATTCTTTAAAGAACAACTAAGTATTTCCCTCATTTTCTTCTGGAGCTGAAATGTGAGCATTGCTTTAGATCAAATAGTGAAGATTCATATATTCCATTGATTATACTTACCGGTGGACATAATGCAGCTGATGTACAGAATCAATTGCTACTACCATTTCAGCCAAATAAAAGCGAGCCATTTCTTCAGGTAACCGGTCCTCAAACTTGCTAAGCAAGGTAAGCAGATCACCACCCACATAATAATCCATTACCAGGTACTAGGAAAAAAGAAAACAGAAGGCACTTATAACAAATTTAGAAAGGTAAATATGCAAAAAGCACAACAGAACTAGGGCAGGAAATACCAGTGCTGCGACAGTAATAGTGCTTTTCCTATTGCAGAACTACTGCGTTCTATTCTATAGTAGAAAGAGGGTATTTTAAGTTCTGTAATGCTGGGGCAATCTTGAAACTGTATTGCTATGGCAGCAGTGTCTCTTATGGAACTGCAGCATTTTGTTCTCTTACCAATTGCAAGGGAAGATAGTAGAACACACCAGCCACATACTTTAAACATATGGTGTGTATGCACCTTTAGTGTTGCAGCTCGAGTCCTCTGGAATCAGTTACCAGTTGAAATTAGACAAGCCACCTAGTGGCTTGATCTTTAGGCAGCTACTTAAGAAGCTTCTGTTTAAGAAGTCTTATCCAGAAGTAGGACCTAGTCAATTTATGAAATATTAAGTGTATGATTCTAAAAATGGTTTTATTGCTTTTAGAGTCCTTAGGAACAGTTTTATTTTTTTCAGAGCATATATATTTTGTTTTGAGTTACATTTTCTCTTATTGTACACCACTGATAGCTTCTGGCTTTGAAGCAGCTTATAAATCTGTAAAATAAATAAAGTTAAAAAATGAGGGAATTTTAAAGAGTACATTGAAGTAACACTCACTAAATAGTTTTCGTCCTGAAAGGCATAGTGCAATGTTGTAATCCATTGGTTATCTCCGTTCACTAACACATCCCTCTCTTCTCGAAAACAAGCTGTCTGGAGGGTAGAAAAATAATATTTTAGGTACTATTTTGAATAATGAAACAAATATATTTAGATAGATGCTTAGAAACACTGTAGGATTACAAGGAAGGCATCTCTCCTGCAGCCAAGAGTAATGATCTCATTACTAAGAGATTGTATTAATCTTTAATACCAATGCAGATTCAAATTTTCTCCATCTAAAATGGGGGAGGGAGCCATGGCCCTCCAGATGTTGCTGTACTCCCATGAGCCCCAGCCAGTGTTGCAAAAGGTCAGGGATGATGGGGGTTGTAGTCCACCAACACCTGGAGGAACACACTTTCCCCAACCCTGAACTAAACCATCACTTAACCACAGCAAAGTTGTGCTAACCAAAAGTAAGCAATTTGGGGTTGGCTATGAGTAATATCACAACCTTTTTTACTTCTCACCTGCTGACAGTTAAGGTGGCTTTCAATTATGATAAGGTGGGATCCCTGAATGATTACTATTAAAGTTACTGTATACAGACATGAACTAATATGAAACCAGCAGTATAATGAGAATGCTCAAGTTTTTTTATACTCTTTGTACAACATTAAGATCCATGCTGAGTCAAAAGAAAACTCTAACTGGTCCAGTAACCTACTTTCCACAGCAGCCAACCAGATTCTTTCAAGGGAGCCCACAACCAAGCTGTGAGAAGGCAATTGCTCTCCCATAGCACGCCCTCTCTCAGCAACTAGTATTTAGTTGCACAAATATGGAGATTCCATCAACAGCCAATGATAGACCTATGCTTCATGAAATATAACAGCTTTAACTCCCCAGAAATATATCCAACTTGTGGAAGTAAAGTTGCCTTTCTCAAACATCAACCCATCAACCCACAGCCCTCTACCACGGCAAGCTGCCTTTGAAACTGGGGAAATTGTGATACTGTATGGGTGGCAGCTGTTCAAAGTTGTTTGTGTTTTTTAAAAAACAAGTTAACAATTCAACAGAGCAAAAACAAACAAATTTTGAAAGCCCAATACTGTAATACAATGTTTACTCAGCCTAGGGTTGCAATCCTAAAGACTCTTCATAGGCATAAAGCACAAACGAACAGAATGTGACTTACTGCCAAGTAAACACTCGTTGGATTGCACTACAACTAGCTCTTCGGATCCTGACCTTTGGCATGCAATACCCAAAAGGCTAAACTTGCTCCATCCAGTTGTTTCAGGCTTCTATTTTTAACTAGAAGCAAAAGCAGTATTTTTTTTCTCTAAAATAATACTAACTACCATTCAGAGTTGTGGAATGAACTACAGTATACATGAGGGAATTGAGCTGCATTTTTGCATCCCACTGTTTATATTTGGATGGAGTCTAAATATCTAAACTGCCAATTTTCATTAGTTGTAGAATCTACCATGGTCTGGAAGGCATGCCATTCCACATGTTAAAACTTTGTGTATGTGTGTGTAGCTATAGAGTGTGTGTTTTCTTCATGTGTGTTTTTATCCAGGCTCCCCGCAAGTAGGCATTTTAATCTTGGCATTTTATTATAAAAATATCATGCATATTATTACTTGCATCTAAAAAATATTAGCAGTGCTTTTTGAGTTACCGGCTGCATTGGCAGGTCACAGCAAACTAGTTAATGGTCTACTGTGAACCTGCAAATGGCTCCTAATTCACTCATCACCAAGTGTGTGGGAGAAACAAATGGCAACCCCTAGTTTAGCACTATGTCCAAACTGCAGATTGTGGTTATTTCAGTGCAAACAAACTGCTGGGTGAAGCCATGGTTTGTACTTGGCCATTGCTGGCATGCAGCCCCAAGAATATTGCCCCTGAACTCTCAGGCTGAGAAACATTCCCCAACATTAAGCAA